CAAGACGGTGGAGGAGGTATTCCTTCAGTTTCATGCTTCGTTGGCAAATATTAGGCTCAGGTGAAAGGAGAATTGACAAAAAAGAGAAGTCAGAGTGTACTAAATGTGGGGATGATCAAGGGATGGCAGTTGGAAGAAGATTGTTTGGGAAAGCCAGCTGAGTAGATATTCTTACTTTTCAGCACTTACCTGTCAACTTCATCGAGTAGAATAATGATTGCACAAAGATTTGCACGTTGTATTTTTATTTTCTTAATTTACCTATCTTTCCCTTCCTTCCAGCCCTTCTTTTACTTTCTTTACAGTCCAATTTATTGCAGTTAACAATATACTGTGCTTTGAAAAGTTTGTGCAGCAGCCAGGAACAATCAGTTGCAGCACTCTGATGATTCAATGTTGTGCCACTGTGGTTGGCTAGTGAACAAAAAACAAAATTAAAAGGTTTTGATTTTCTGACATGCACTGATATATATCAGAGTTTCCAGTACACGAAATGAATACAGCTGTAAGTTATTTGAGGCCTCATTTTCTTAAAAACAATACCAAATACCTTGTATAAAAAGTAGTGCAATCAAAATTAATGACTGAATTCATCTCAGGCACTTAAAATGACTGGATTTTGGTTTGTAACTGATTACAGCTAATGTTAAAATACCCATAACTTTTCTGTTTATGTTGTGAGCTATATTTCTATAAAGGCTTTATTTCTATAAAGTTTGTATTTGCTGGTTTCTGAAGAAAATGTGAAATTAAGCATTTATCATTAGCTTGGGTAGTGACTGCCTTCAATTTCTATATGGAAATTCTTGACTTTCATTTCAAATTACAAATAGCTGTTGGATGAAGTACCAATAAATTGGGGGTGCACAAGGTGGTGAAGGGCAGAACCATTGCCCTCCAACGGACCATTGCATATTGTTTTCTTTTAAACAGGTTTTTGTTGGGCTCAAAGAAATGTAAAGGACTGAAAAGCTTCACAAATATTTTTTAGATGGCTGCTGATCATTGACGCAAACTCGAGACTGAGCTGATTTCACGCTTTGGCCATGTTATGTGCCGACGTCAGGAAAGTTTAAAAAATAGTAATAACCTAATTGACATGTGCTATGTCAATTCTGTATTGCAGTTAGGTTTTGGGAATAGAAGTTCTGCAAATAATTTACAGCTGATTGAAGCCCATGGTGGTATTTGTTCTCTGCCATTGGTGCCGGCAAGCTATGATAAAGAGATACAGTCATCAAGCTGCCAATGCAGCTCTGAATATTGGTTAAAAAATAATTTTTAACAGTTGGTCAAACAAAAATCAAAAACGTAGTATTAATAATGGGAGGAAGAAACTTTAAAAGACTGCTCCCTTTTAAGAACATCACTCCATAAAGAGTTTACTGTTAACTGACTCAAAATATGCTTACAAGGCAAATGGCAGCCATCTTCATGAAATTGAGGTCAGCGCTGATATTCATAGAATCTTAGAAGTCCTACAGCGTGGAAGCAGGGCAATCGGCCCATTGTGTCCACACCAATCCTCCAAAGACCATCCCATCCAGATCCACCCCTCTATTCAATCCCTGTAATCCTGCATTCTTCATGGCTAACTCACCTAGCCTGCACATCCCTGGACACAATGGGCAATTTAGCATGGCCAATCCACCTAACCTGCACATCTTTGGATATTAAACACAGTGTTTAAAAATAAATCCTGTATTCCCTCTTGAGGCAGAAATTTTCCAGGGCATTTCTGGACCAACAATGCAGCCAGTTGGGTAATTGAACAACAAAGGAATCTGACCAGAAATGGGCTCAAAAGTTGAGACTTCTCTTGAATGTCCATTATTGAGACACACCTCAGTGAATCTACTGTTTGATGTATAGTTTGTAGCATATAGGAGACAGAACTATACTAGAATTTTAAAAATATGTTTACTCATGCAAAACAGATGTGACTTGTTATGTGAAAATAACAAATGTTCTATTTTCTGAGTATCTTTACAGAACGATTTTTGAAGTTCCTCACAACAACTTTGAATTTGGATCTTTGTAGATCATATTGGATCTTATTGCTCACTTTTGTGGTTTACTTGGTTCAGAAAATGCAGTTCTCAAAGGAACAATGAAAGCTTTGCTTGTTGTCTTGTACTTGTATGTTGTTTGATTACTCATGCGTAATATTCACAATACATGTATTGTACAAAAGGTCTTGTAAGAAATATATCTGGTAATAATCTTAAGATGGTTGAACTCTGTCATAACTGTGTATTTCCATGAAATACAGAGTAAGCCTGAATTACCATATGCTCAACATCACTCCTGTACAGAATTAGTGAGGGCAATGTTCTGTCAATATGAATGACATTTAGCTATTAAAACTTAAATTGTAAAGGAAAGCAGCACTGTCCAATATGTGTAGCTCATTGAAAATCCAGGTGTGGCTAACTGCATTTTTATTTTATCGTTATAAATAAAACACTGTGGTAGAATTCCTTACCAGCCATCAAATCTTAATGCACATTTTCGCAAAGTGTATCTGAACTATATAACTGCTTTTAAAATGGTAAACTGAAAAACAACAAGTATAATTATTTTCTAATCACTATGACGACGTTGCTTCTTTGGTTGCTGGGATTTTTTTGAAAAAGTTATGTAATACACTGAACATCAGCATCACAAACGTACAAATGACCTGGGTGAGTGTGATTATGCTCAGCTTGATCAATCAGAAAAACCACTCCAGATCTGCAGGAAATAGCAATAATGAGCAGCTCTAAAAGAGCCACTAATGTAACATGTGAGCAGCATCCAATCCATATTCTGGAAGGAGAATAGAAGATTACAGATATGAAGAGAGGTTAGGATATGTAGGTCTGGAAGTAGAATGAGAGGTGCAGAAAGGGAAGGGTGTGTGTGTGTGACACTTCTCCATGTGCATCAACAGCTAGTCCTGCCTATAATTGCTTTGCAAAGCTGAAGGCTCAATAAATACACTTGAAGAAAAATAAAAATTTCAAAGGATGACGCCCAATTGCAAGACTGAGCAGGAAAGGATGAATAGATGAAAAATATGAATATCTCTAGAAAAGGGAAGATTGAGGAATGATCTATTGAAAGTTTTTGAAATTATGAAGGATTGTGATAGAGTGGACACAGAGAGAGTGTGTCCAAAAACTAGAGGCCATAATATGAAACAGTCACCAAGAAATATTGGGAATTTAGAAGAAATTTTTTCACCCAAAGAGTGGTGAGGATGTAGAACTTACTGTCAGAGAAAGTGGTTGAAGTGAGTATTATCGACACTACATTAACATCTGAAGAAGAGAACAGAAGGTTATGTTGATGGAGATCAGAGGAGGATAAAGTGGAGCAAAAATAGCAAAAAGAATTTCTTGAGCTTTCTGGTATGTTTAAATATGTTGATAAATATGAGCCAGAATTTCAAAACATTGGTTCAATGTAAAGAGAGTAATACTTCACACTGAATGGTTGAAGATATTTTTTCAGTAAATATTTACATATGCAGTCCAATTATCTCTATTGTGTGAAAGGCATTTTCTGCTGAAATGTATACTTGTGGCTAAAATACTGTTGCTGTAGACACACCTGCAGCTAATCAGCCTTATATTGGAAAAGACTAAAGTGAAGTGTATAGCCTCTTATTTATGTCCAGATTATTATCTAAAGTCATACAGTGTCTTCATTAACTGAAGTTTCTAGATTACTACTTCTGCCAGGAAGACAGAAACATTTTAAAATATGACACATTGAAGTGAAATTTCTGATATTTTGCAGTAGGAAATATACTGGTCTGTATTTCTGTGGACATCATTGTGTCTGTTTTGTTGTGTCATTGTATTCACATTTATTTAGACCTATTCTCAAGGGTACCAGATGTCCCCCTAGCCTTTCAGGTGAAAACATTTCAAAAGGCGGGAGGGAATCCAGTTTCCCACTTGTTCACTATTATCCTATCATATCCATATTTAGACCCTCATAGGGCAATTAGAACAGCCTGTATAGCCTATTTGTAATGAGCCTTTCTGCATTTCTGTATCTATAACCCATGAGCCTTCCCTGATGGGAGATCATTATTCTGGAAGAAACACTGTAAATGTAAATGAATATACTCATTAGTGAGTTGCAGAGAAGTCTTTAGTGCTAACATTGTTATAATTCAGTTTGTTATTCCTTTGGTATTCTATATAGAATTTTTATAATCATTATTAGTATTCTTCAGTGCTTGTACTGGAACTAAAATGTTATGCTTATTTAAATATGTCTATTTAAAGAGGGCGCAGGAACAGAGACCATGGGAGTGTGTGTACACAAATCTTTGAACGTAGCAGGCAAGATGAGCAGGCTATTTAAAAAACACTTCTCAGATCCTTGGTTTTATCAGGAGAAGTAGAGTCAAAAGTAAGGAAGCTATGCTAAACCTTTATAAAACGCTGGTTAGGCCTCAGTTGGAATGTTCAGTCTGGGACACTACATACTTTATTGAAAGATGTCAAGGCCTTGGAGAAGGTATTGAAGAAGTTTGGCAAGGCAGAAGGAAGCAAGGGATTTGCATTGTTTATTGAAGCTGGTTTATTTTTCCTTAGAGAGGAGAAAGTTAAGAGGAAATTTAACAGCAATGTTCAAAATTATGAAGAGTTTTGACCGAAGAAATAGCAAGCAACTTCCAGTGACAGAATGGACAGTAACGTAAGAATTTAAGATAAATGGATAAATCACCAGAAACCCACAGCAGTCATTAGGATTGGAATCAACTGTTTAAAAGGGTGGTGAAAGCAGGTGTAGTTGTAACTTTCCAAAAAGAATTGGATATTTACCTGAAGGAAATCATTTGCAGGTCTTTACAGAAAGGAGAATGCGATTCATTTGACAGCTATTCAAGAGGTGGTACAGGTGTATAGTGTGGAATGGCCGTTCTCTGTGCTGTACCATTAATTAATTTTATATGATTCCATTGGTCTGACAGTAACCATGTCATTTGCTCTTTACTATAGGACCTGTCTGTGAAACGTTCCAGATCTCTATCTCCAAGGAGCTGTACTGGAGAAACAGAAGAATTGATGAAAGTAAACAAAACAGAACAAAAGATTGAGACCCTTGAGAAACTTTTAAAAATGAAGGTATTGTACAGTATATGGTAAATACTTGATTATTGACTATTTTAATACATGCCTGATTGAATCAGTTAAGCTCAAAGTAGTTATCCCCTTAATTAATTCCTGTTTGTTAGAACATCTAAATGAAATCAGAATTCCTCACTATCAGGCTTCCTTTTTGAACAAACATATGGTGTTGTGCTTTCTATTTTCATCATGTTCAGCTCAACCCTATAAAATAAACCTGGACTAAACCACTGCTTAAAAACAGTCTAAATTATTTTATCTGACCAGATGGATAGGAGGACATACCTAGGTTACACACCTGTCCTGAGGTCAAAGGAGCTGGCAGTTCTTAATTTTAGTCTCCACAGCTGAGCAGGGGCCACTGAGATTGTCCTGAAGCTTTTATATATTGGGTACTAATGTCATCAGTAAGATTTGTCTGCAATTTCTGTTGCAAGCTGCGAGGGTCTTACTCACCAGGACGGTGTAAGTTTGAAAGGAATAGAATCCAGGTGCTGGCAGAGACTGGATTTTGAAGTTTTGTTCAATTTTCTTGTGGGTTTGGGAGGAACCAGGATGATTGGGCCTCCTGACACAAATTCCCTGATCCTCTCCACTTTGATGGCAAGATTGTTTGATTCTGGTTCCTGACCTACAATGCCTTCCATATTAATGGAGAATGGTTGTGAAAGATATATTGTTTAATCATTCTCAACCTACCAAATGATGTTCTCCCCACACCCCTTGTTCTTTTTGTGATGTCTTTTTGATGGTGTTTGCACTGACATTAGTTGATACTGTTATGTAAGGCTGATTTGGAAATTGATTCATTGGGCAAGACTAGCCTTTGTGATGACTTCTGGCAAACTTTTGGGCTCATATTTTCAGCACTGTAGGTGCCATTTTGCTTTCTAACAGACAAAGCAGGTTGTGCTGTGTGCTGGATGCTGACTGCCAAATGATATTTTGCTGGAACTGTGAGCTGGGAACATCTGTTGGAATTATGCAGAGCAGGCCGTTGATGCTGATGCTGATGCTGATGCTGATGCTGATGCTGATGCTGATGCTGATGCTGATGCTGATGCTGATGCTGATGCTGATGCTGATGCTGATGCTGTCATTATTGATCTGAACCCTTGAGCTGATGCAAACAAATTCACATTTGAATGTAGATTCAGATTCAGAGAGGAGGCCCCAAATAGCATTATTTAAAGGTGTCATCAGCTGTTTTCAGTTTAGTCACTGATTGATTTCTTCTGGTTTCTGCTGTGATTCTGATTGTTTAAATTGCTGAAGTCAACAAGGAATGGTGTGACACTTGTTGAAGGACTTTTTCTCTTTTCCAGTGATTTGGCATAAATTATTTGCCGTCAGATATGAGTGGTAATTTGTATTTCCCTTGTTCTCTAACATGAAGAAGAAAATAAGCAGGGGTAACATAGAGTAGGACATACGGCTGGAGGAGGGAGGAGGAGACAAAATAGGGATCTTAGCAGGAGGCTATATGTGCCAACAATGTTCTGTGCATATTGCTTCCATTTGAACCTTATTGAGGAGTGGTATCCTAGATGTCTTTGCATCAGCAAGGAAGTCCTCACAGCAATCTGTCACCTGACGTAACCACAATTACAGCCTCAGAGCAGGATGAAGATGGCTGTGAAGATAACTATGATGAGGAACTTTTATTTGTCTGCCTGCTTCCAGATTAGACCTGGAGACATTGCCACATCTCTTGACTAGCTGTCATTGTTCCATAATAGAGTATAAAAGCTCAATATTTCAAGAGGGCTGAATACAAAATGAACATTTAACTTTGGGAGGATTGCGGGCTATGATTGGTTGACAGGCCATTCACTATACGCAGAGTGTTATGCTGTACGCTAAACCTAAAATGTACTACACTGGAGAGGATTATACTCACTCAGAGTGCAGATAATGTGCAACCATACATTGATATCATGCAAGTCACTGTGTGGTATACTGACAATAGTCAGATTGCCTTCATTCTGCTACAGGCGACGCACATTTTAGCCATCACAGCAAATGAGAATTGGTTCTTGGCAACAAGGGCTATTTGCTACGTGATTCAATGTTTCTGTTGTGAAACTCTCACTTGTAGGTAGCATGTATATATAGAAAGACATACTGTTGCACGTAATATAGTGATTAAAATGCTTTTGCAACCCGGACTGCTCTGGAGGATCCTTGCAGTTCTTGAAAGGGTGTGTACTATTTGTAGTGGACTGCTGTGTGCTGCACAGCCTTGCTATTGAAAGAGCATAGTCGTTACCATCTAGAATCATAAGAAATAAGAGCAGGGATAAGGCATTCAACCCCTTGACCCTGCTGCACCTTTCAGTAAGATCAGGGTCAATTCGATTGTGGCTTTAACTCCACATTAATGCCTGATCCCATGATGTTCAATTCACAAACAACACATCGTCCCCCTAAGTGTAATAAACATAGTGCTAATGAGCAGAACCCCAGGTCCCTATTCACCAACAGTAATACACCTTGGGCAGATTTTCTGTTGGCCAGAGTGTTGCTATTGAAGTGTAGATGGGAGTTGCACCTACAGAATCCCCGTTTAACATGCTCTGAAGGAATTATTCAGGATGTTGAATTTTCCTTTGGGCATCCTTTACTCCAGGATCTCTATAGAAGTCTCCATTTTAATCATTGACTTCAGAGGGTTATGATACAATTAAATAAAATAGTTCTCAGGAAATGTTAAACTACAGAATACATCGTCTAACTATTAAATAAGTATTAAACAGGCTCCACACTTACCTCACACACCCCAAACATCCCTCCCCCAGAGCACTTACACCTCTGTTATTCTCCACCAACCCCCAGACTACCAAACACTGATCTGGTGCCCTCTCGCCCCACCTAGACCCAACTCCCTATCACCTTTCAGGACCCAATATCTGTTCTCACCTCACCACAACCTGATCCAAACCAGCCACCACAACCCTACCGTCCCCCAGGTGGGCCCCTGCCATTGGACCCAGGCCTAAACATACTTCTTTCCCCTTCCTCTGTGAGCCCTGACCCCTGGCCATCCCACCCTATCTCCTAACCAACCTCCCCTCCCCTCCTCCTGCCAAACCTGGTAAACTAATTGATGTGTTGGAGCACAGAATGCTGGAGTGTTGTGACAGTCTGCAAACCCCTTTGCAAACTGATACCTGCAGTTATACTGGCAGCAGTCTGAACTTGCATCACCTCAGTGTGAGTTCCCAATGCTTTTGCTAGTGCTGCAATGGAAGCTGAGACAGCAGTTATCAGATCCTGTATTATGGTCCAGGTCTGCAAGTGCTCTCATGGAGCCCACCACCACTTCCATGCAGAAAATCTCTGTACAAAGTCCAGTGCCAAAATGGCATTACACTGCTCCATGCTCCTTGACATTGACAGCAGGCACTTTGGCATGCCTGGCAGTGCACCTGTCACAACCACATACTAGGCATGTCCTCAGAGTAGTCTGAACTAAGAATTTGTATATGCTTGTATATGGCTCCTTTTTAATTATCAAGTGTTTCAATTTAAAAATAACCAGCACAGCTTTATGCTTTAATGGAAATAAAAAGTTAATTTATTAAGTAGTTATTGCTGATGGTTATGATAGAAACAAAGTGATAAAGTTATTAGCTAAAATACACAAGATAAAAGTGAGATCAGTCTCTACTGATTGTTTATTTTTCTTTTGTAAAGAATTTCTTTTGTAAATCTGCTTTAAAATGGACACAAGGAGTCTCACAAAATGGCCAACAGAAATCAAAGGTTTCTTTTGTTTTATCTGAAGCTGAAGAGTTGAAAACTTTACGTCAGATTTAGCAGCTGCCATTGCCTCTGTATTCAGACAGTGGGACGTTGCTCCCACAGGTGGACTGAGCAGAACAGGTTCTGGGAATGAATGAATGCTACTTTGTATCACTTCTATGGCGCTGCAGGTTGTGGTACTTGGTAGCTTTCTTTAAAACAGCAGTCTTGTCTCCTGGTTGAAAATCAGTTGCTGTTTCAAGATGTCTCTCTCATGATGTTCATATGCTTCTCTTCCAAATTGCTGTTTCCAGCCAGTTTTATCACAGTCAAACAGAATAAATGCAAATGATAATTTTATTGTGTATTTATTCCACAAGAAATGTCAATTAATGTGGAATTCCTTGTGATGTCCTTCCTGATGCATGTTTGACATTACAGAAGCATTATAGTCTTCACACCTTTTAAGGGTTCATTGGACCGTCCTAAAATCTTTGAATTATCTGATGAGGTTTTGTGGTTGCCTCTTAAGAGAACACAGTCTGATTGTCTGCTTTTGGCTGCAGCTCAATCCACAATGAAGTCTTTTGGTTTCTGGTAGCCATTTTGTAAGACTCCTTGTGCACATTTTAAAGCAGGTTAGCTTTCTTTACAAAATATGTAATACTATTACTAAATGTCATCATAGCCTCGCCAGACCAAAGGGCCGCTTTTTCATTAGAGAGAGCTGACTGGTGATGTTTAACCTGAAGATCACCATGCCTCAGGCAAAGGGAGAGGTAGAGAAGGAGAATCCTTCATGGTAACCTCAGCTGGTACAGGAAATGGACCCACGCTTTTGGTAAAACCTTGTAACACAAGCCAGCTGTACAGCCAACTGAGCTAACCAACCCCCCCCCCTTAATATTATTACTACACTTTTATGACAGGCCAAACATTTCAGGATGCAAACTCACCATCTGTCTTTTGTACAGCATGCAATTGAAATCCTCAATTAAGTATTCTATAGCAAAAATCATGTGCAACCTTGCTGTCTCATGAATTGGTCCCTGTGTTATCATGATTGCTGCCCTGGCTGCAGGACACCCATTTCTTCGGTCTCACTAGGTGTAGATTCTGCTTCAATTTTTAAAATCATATTCAACATCAGTACCTGGTGGTATCTTTTCCACCTATTTTTCTATCACCACTTACGTAGCTGTTTTTTTTGATATCTTACAATGGAAAACAAAGATGGGGTTATGTTGAAAGAT